AAAAAGTATATTCATGTTCTCTTCTAAAATTAAAGATTCTTCAGCATAATGGGATCTTAAGGCTAGGGATCAGGGCAGTAGGTGAATGAATACAACAGCAAAGGTTCTCCTTCCCACTTGTGTAGAATATTGTTTATATTCTTTTTTCCAGTCATCCTCCTGTAGCGCTGCATGCAATAAGAACTCCTTGTAACTTCAGTGAGCTCTGAGAGACTAAATGTCATGATAACTCATAGAGTTATAATGTCTTCTGACACATTTGCTTTACACAAATGTAAGGAAGCTATATAAATTTCAAACCACATGTAATATGTGCTTCCTTTTGCCATGCATATCTGCTTATCTAAACTTCTGGATTTTGATTAGTGAATTATGAAAGCAATTATCTGTTGCCATCAATTGAAAATGTTAATCATATTCTTCAAAGGCAGTGATAAAATGTGTAGAGCTGCAGTGGAAGAGGAGATGGACACCTTACTGCATATCCTGTGAAATACAGTGTTTAAAGTCATGCTTTTATTCATCAATGATACCAGATGTAACCTCCCAAAGACCGGAGGGAGGCCAGTCATGTCACTCGGGGATGTTATGCTGGAAGACTAACTGTACTTTGTTTTCTTTCTGGCTTTTGTGGACACTGTCTGTAGAAGTGAGAACACTTTTGAGAATACTTTTTGGTTTATTTTTTTTTTTTTAAGAAAAAGAGAAAACATACTTTGTTTTTTTTCTGGAGTGGCTTTTTTTTAAATGTTATTTAGGCAAAATTCTTGTTAAAGCAATTTTTTCTTTACTATTACTTGCTTTTAAATTCCCTTTGTAGGAACTGTGCGACTTTTATTGCCTTACCCTTTGTTTGATATTCACCATATCTTGATTAGAACACCTCGATTACTTCGAAGAATGCTGCTGCTTTTCCATTTCCTAGTGCTTTCCAGCAGCTCCGCATACATTCAATGCAAGTTGAAATAAATGTGTTAAAATTACAACACATGCTGCAAATGGTGGTGATCTAAGGGGAATCTTAGGCTAATTAGCAGCTTTTCACAAATGTGAAAATTGTAGGTTGAATAAGAAAAAGTAGTAACTTCTCAATTGGTGTGAGTGTTGTTACATCGGAATGAGACAGCTTTTACCAAACTGAAGTACTGCCTCTTTTAGGAAGGGAAATCTCAGCTCAACTTCTTTTTCTCTTATGTAGTCTACACATTTGTCTATCATTAATTCATTCCAGAATGGCCAATTATGCAGGGGTGGTAGGGGCTTTACTTAAATATCTTAGTGGCATGAATAGTCCCAGCCTGTTTCTCCATGCGCCTAACCCATCCCATTCACTGTTTCGTTAAATCGTGCTGCTCATCTGTCACTCTGAAAGTGGCATAATCTCTTAACTCACCAAAAGCTACACGTATGATTTATTGATTTGCAGGTGAAATTTAGGCATTTCAATCAGCAAGGCTCTCTGAAGGACATCCAGTCCTTGTGACGATGTTTAGTTGCATGAGTGCTACTCGGTGACGGCAGTTCAATGACAGCATGATGTAAAAGACCACAGTGAAAATATAACTGATACTCAGCAGAGCTTTTTTTCCAGTAGCCAGTCCGACTGCTTCATTCAAAGTCACCTTTAAAAAATAGGAATTACTGACTCTCTGTGCTGCTTCTCCCAACTCAAAACAGCCAATGCTGTTCTATTTTGCTTGGTTCTTATATAAATGAGAATAAATGTGTGGGCATTACACTTGTATAAGTTCGAAACACTACCCAACAACTTAGGGAAGATGTGATCATGATGTTCTTTACCAGAAAGCAGTGCTGCCACCCATTCTTCATCCCATCGCTGTCTTCCCAGTGCAGTAAATCTCCTTTACCTAATACATGGTTGACCTTTGAACAAACAGCCTGAACAGATATTTGCATTAACATACTTCTGCAGTGAAACTCAGATCTCACAAAATTACCACCTTATTCCTCTTAAAAGAAGAGACAAATAAACCTGTCAGCTGTATTTGGCTTTCTTTTGCTGTTTGATGCTCACTCATTTAATTTCTCAGACTTTTCTCCTCTTCTCATTGCATTTTATGAACATCTGTATTTAATTTATGTGTCCATTTTATCTTCTGTGGTTCAGATTACCATCATCACTATTTAATGAACTTCTTTGTATAATCTATAGCAGAAAATTTTAAAAAAGTAAGATTTAAGTTTGTTCATTGGTTGTTTGGTTTTGATATGTCATTAATACCAGACATATATGATTTAGAAAGAAATCCTATTGCTTGTGTTAAGAAGATCCTCCTTTTATAAATATAATTTCTGTAGGTATCTGATCTAGACGTTTTAGATGTTAAGATCTGTGACTTGCAAGGAAGCAATGCTGTGAACCTTTTCATATCAGAATGAATATAGTGTACAGAGTGTTTGCCTGCCTTTTAAATAGTTAAATGAAGATTCTTTTCTGTCTTGTTCCTGCTACGAAATAGAAAATAATATTAACATTTAACATTATGTTTTCCTATTATCCCATTAGTGGTAACTGCAAAAAAAAGCATACAAAACTGATTTATGATATTTCTGTAGTAACCCATTCATTGGTAAAAGTCATCACTGAAAACGAACACAAATCTCAAAATGACAGAAATAAATTAGTTCTTTTGCATAATGATCCAAATTTAAATCAAATATAAAAAGCAATAAACACAACACTGGGAGAATTGTTTGAAAGCGAATTTATCAGTTATTCAAAGGGGTTAGAACACCTAATGCTACGTAATTGCCTTAATAGTAGATTAGCAGAGGTTTAGTGTACACAGAATAAGGACATACTAGGGAAGTTAACATATGTTACTAAAAGTAAAAAATTCCTGGTTATATTGGTGGACCATTTATCCCTGTATAAATGCTGATAGAACAAGTAGTTCGCCTATACGATTATTAAATGTGGCAGCAGTTTTAGTGCGTTTGCAAGAGATGGGTGGGGAATTATGTACTGCAGCCACTTAAAGCTCCTCCAAAATTTTTTCTCATCCTCTATGTTGTAGTTAAAGCTATGCTCATGGATACCCACTTTTTGGTAGCTACACCTTTGGGTAGCCTTCAGAATTCAAACTAATCCTGCTAGTGACTGGTGAGTAGTCTGAAATTTCAAGGAGAATTGAGTGGTTATTTGCTGTCTTAGCTGAGATGATTTGCTTTTCTCCCTCATGTATAAGTCAAACAAATCCAAGCAAATAGTTAAACAGATATGCAGCTTTACGTTTCAGAAATATCCTGGATACAATAGGGAAAACAGAAATCTGATTGTTTTGTTTCTGAAGGATAAAATGCTCAAAGGATATAAAGGAGACTATGATAGAATAAAATGAAGTTATGTGATCATAAATGGTTGACATGTTTTTAATAATAGGGAACTCCTTTATAGTTTTATTTATAAAAATTTTAACTATTAAATCTTAACTGAGCAGATTAAATCTCATTGTGAAGGCATAGTAAGTGCTACCAAGTCAGCAGATCTTGTTCAATTGCTCCTGTTGTTTCCCTGATGGTTTGAGTTAAACCAATTGATTTTAAAGGTGGGGTTATTCATAAAAGCTCTGCAAGGGCTAAAATCTGGTCTCATCTCCAGTTTTCAATCAAATAGTGATATCACACAATGGTGACATTTACTAATTAATTAATTCCCCAGTAGTCAATAAGGAACTGAATGGGAGCTACTATAATTGGACATCATAAAATCAGGAGCTCTGATACATTCCTACAAATTTATTTTTTTTTTTAACTGGCCAAAAGCCTTTTGGAACGTTAATATTTTCTTCAATAAATGTTTCAATAATGCAGAAGTCCCAGAGGATATGAAGGAAACTGAAGGATGAGAAGAAAACTAGCAGTGAACTGAGATGTTATAAAGAATAACCCATAGGTCTGTCAAGTTGACATTGATATGGAAAAGAATAATGAAAAAAGCAATTAAGCACGGTAAAGGAGGCAATGGGAGCTGATACTGATTATGGAAAACATTTAGGAAATAAACTGGATAATCTTTTAAAATATGTTCATGGATTTGTTTGCTAGAGGTAATAGTGTTGATGCATGTGACATGCCTCTCTAGGGTGTTTGTCTTACTTTTGCATGGCATCTTGGTTGCTAAATTATAATGACAGAAAGTCAGCAGAGTAGTCGTCATAAAATGGATGAAAAAGTGACTACAAGACAGGATTCAAAATTGGAAAACATCACTGGATGGGTTCCACAAACAACATATAAATTCATTTACATGACGTTATCAGCCTGCTGGGTGCTTGAAGTACATGGGGTGGGGACCGATGCACCCTTATTGCTTTTTAGTACACCCAATTTTATGTTGCTACATTTACCTGTCACACGTTCTTTTTAATTTTAGTGATGGTTTTAATTTAACACCCAACGCAATAACAGCAAGGTAAATGGAGATGTTCGAATTCCCCCTGCAAAACCAGAGGAGAGTCCAAGGCTTCATTTTCCCTAACAAAGCTTTTATTAGCACTTGACAATGAGATTATGCAATGGCTCCAGCTCTCCCTGGAATAGCTGGCGCTGGCATGCGAGAGCAGGAGACTGCCAAAAGCCTCTGCGTGGTTTGGCACCCGCCAAGTGCCTGTCAGTTTAGTTGTGTTCCTAATCTGACAGTCACTGAAAATAGTTCAGGTGGCTGCTTTCTACTAATGAAGAAATCATGTCCCTCTGGGTATTTATATTAGGAGAGAAGGGAACAATTAGTGAATTGACATTTATTTCCTTCCATGTTTACAGTTAAGAGTATATAGGAGAGCTTTCGTGCTTGTTACAGTTTCTTGAAAAATACTGAAACATCATAAGGAACAGAAGACTATACGGCGTGGAACCTGAAAACGCTGAACATATTTGGCTCGTGAAATGGCATTTATGGCAAGGCTTTAAAATGACTTAAGTTTATGCACACAGCTGTTTCTGTCTTAACAGTAACTAATGCACTTTTTTTTTTACAGCCAGCAATCAGCTGAAGACCTTGCAAGAGTACCTGCCAATTCTACCAGCAATATCTTGAATAGGCTATTACTCAGTTATGATCCCAGGATAAGGCCTAATTTCAAAGGTTTGCCAGATATTTCAGCCTTTTCTTTAATCTTTGGAATTTAACTTTTCCTCTTTTCACACACCCAAAATTTATATAGAGATAATATTCACAACCTAAATTTCTGGTTCTTTAAAAAATGAAAATTTCC